TATCGATATATAATTCATATTTCTGCCAGACTTACGCCTGTAATGTATTCTGATTTTGAGGACCGCCCGGAATCTTCCACACAACCAATGTGGCATAGCCTACATGACATTGGGGCGAACCGTTCCGACAGTTATGCCAAGCTTTTATCACGAGCAAAGTTTGCTGCTTAAATGTTGTATAATTCATGTCCGCCGGGTCCGGCGTCGTAATGAATTCTGCCTTTAAACGTCACTTCTGAAAAACCAGAGAGTAAAAGGAAATTTTACAACAGCTGCCTGGCACTCTGGATGAAATGGCATCATAATGAGATGAATGTGCTGAAGTCTGAAGTGGAATGATGTCGCCTGTTTGAAAGTCAATGCAGTTGTTTGTGACTTCCCTCGATAGTTGTCAATACACAGACTTTGAGAAGGTCAGTCGAGTCTTATTTATAGTAAATAGAACTTGTCAATGTCAATGAGCATCGAATTATTTATTTATGTTTTTTACTTATTTATTTGTTTCTAGAAAAACATTGTTTTCCTGTAACCTGATGCTTCTTGTGGTGAATCCTCAGTGAATTAATTGTAGTACATACTTTATTTTTGGTTAGTGATTTATTTTTTACAATTGCACATTCTTAAACCCTATGTAAAAACGATATGATAAAGAAGTCATGGAAACATTTTTTCATTACTTTAATTCATCAAATCAGTTTGACCAATTTCAAACTTCTTTTTTTTCTTTATTTGATATTCAAAGCCAGTTTAATATAATGCAAGTTGAAATGACTTGTACAGCTGATTTGATTATGCTTAAAAATTGAAGGCAGCAACTGAACTTTTCTGAGCTTTTATGTTGAAGTACACTGAAAAAAAGTGTAGAAACAATTTTCACTCTGTAATCACTAGTAAGTTTCACAAACAATTACAAAGAAACAGTAAGTAACACACTGAATTAAATGTGACATATTTAAGTAGAAAAACTTAAACTCCAATAATTGTTTTATTTATTTACAACTTCAATAACAATATTCTTTTGTCTTACAAATACAGTGGCATCCAAAAGTCTGAGACGGGTGTGAAAATATGTAGCCAAATTGGGGAAAAAATGCCCCAGCGCAATACATGGATAGTTAATCCAAAAATGACAATTTTCATCTTTTACTCACTCTCATGTTGTTGAAATCTGTATAAGTTTCTTTCTCTAGTGAAACATAAAAGCAACCGAGCACACTGCGGATCAAGTTGCAGGAGGAATATTGGCCATTGCACAGTTACTTCTGTCTCACCACCCCAAGTCCAAAATTATTGTTTTGGGCCTGTTGCCAAGGGGAGAGTTTCCTAACTAACTTGGTGTTGGTGGATGGAAGCCAGCGGACACCTGACGTCTCTGTGGCTGCATGCTATATACTAGAACATGCTAAAAATGCCACCAAAAAAGAACGAGGAAATCGAAGACATAAAGAAATCGCTTGATTTTCTGTCAGAGGAAATTGCGACTGTCTCGAAGCAGCAAAAAATTATAATGGATTTAATGAGTGAAATAAAAGAACTTAAAAAACTAAATATAAAAAATATATAAACGACAAACCTGTTACAATAATTCGCTTTAACAACAGGGAAAACAAAAATGTCCTGCTCAGACAAGGGAAAAAACTCAGGGGTACAGATGTTTATATAAATGAGCATCTAACAAAAAGGAATGCAGACATAGCGAGAAGGGCTCGCCTGCTAAGAAAGCAGAAGAAAATCCAGTCAACCTGGACAACAAACTGTAAGGTGTACATAAAGCTTAATGGGGCACCGGAGGAGGCCAGAGTCCTGACTGTAAGATATATCGAGGAGCTGGATAAGTACCAGTGACTCAGGAACATGCAAAATTCTAAGGTAAAGAACGTGTATATATCAATGCATGTGATTGACGTGAATTCAAATGTATATGGACACTATAGAAGAGCTTGACTGTTCAAACTTGATAACTGCTGGAAATGAGAGTGACGATGAGTGTGAAGGTTGGAACTTTAAAACATTTAAATTCACTGATCATAATTTACATGATTTTGAACAAGATATTGACCCTGAAAATAATTTTCTTAACAATATAAATAACAACTGCTGTTATTACTCTGAAGATCAATTTAATATGAACGTAAAATTTGTTCATGGAATGTCAATTATTCATTTTAATAACAGAAGCTTATATGCAAATTTTCACAATATTAAAGAATACTTAAGTCGTCTAAACAAACCATTCCAGGTGATAGCCATATCTGAGACCTGGCTTAGTAATGAGAAGGGAGTGGATTGTGAGTTGAATGGATAGGAACTGAATTACATTAATAGAGAGAATAAAAAAGGTGGAGTGGCCTTGTATGTGGACAGGAGATTAAATTATAAAATTTTGAAAAATATGACTAATATTGATGATGAGATGGAGATTATAACGGTAGAAATTTTTCTGGAAAAAAAAATGTAATTATAAGTTGTGTATATAGAGCTCCTGGTTCCAATATTGAAATATTTAAGAATACTATGGAAAGGTTATTTGCTAAGAAATATCATAAAGATGTGTTTATATGTGGGGATTTTAATTTAGATCTCTTAAATCCCAACAACCATAAACTGATTGATGAGTTTATTGATTTAATGTTTAGTATGAGTTTTTTTCCACTAATAACTACACCAAGCATCTCACTGTGCAACTCTAATAGATAATATATTCACAAACAGAATGGATAATAGTATAAAGAGTGGGTTATTACTTAATGATATAAGTGACCATTTACCAGTTTTTATAATGTGTGCTTGCGATCAAGTGAAGTTAAAAGATACTAATGTAATTAGTTACAGGAGAATTGGAACAGTGGAATCAATAAATAAATTAAGAAGTGAATTATTTAAACATAACTGGGAAAAATTGTATGAGGAAACTGATACTGATAAAGCATATGAAACATTCCTGATGATATTTAAAACTTTATATGATGAACAATGTCCTTTAAAACAATTTTAAAAAAGAAAGAATAAGTTTAATGAGAAACCATGGATGACAAAGGGCTTACAAAATGCTTGTAAAAAAAAGAATACCTTGTATAGAGAATAAAAAACAGAACTATTGAAGCTGGTAATAAGTATAAAATATATAAAAATACACTGACTAGTATTATGAGGATAAGTAAGAAAGAGTATTATAATAAAATATTAAATGAAAATAGAAATGATATGAAGGGAATATGGAATGTGTTAAATAATATTATCAGGAATGGATCAAGGAGTATAGAATATCCTCAGTATTTTATAGATAGTGAGGGGACTGTAAGCAACATGAATGATGTGGTTAATGGGTTTAATAACTTTTACGTAAGTGTCGGACCAAGATTAGCAGAGGGAATTGAAAATCAACAGACAGTAATAGGAGAGGTGAAGGCTATGGATTTTTTAGACAATAATCCTAATTCTATGTATTTGAAACCAACTGACGAAAAGGAGATTATTGAAATTGTTAGCAAATGGAAGAATAAAAAGTCCACAGACTGGAACGACATTGATATGGCTTTAATCAAAGAAATCATTGGGGCAATTGTTAAACCGTTAACTTATATTTGTAATTTGTCTTTTAAAACAAGTAAACTTTTATTTCCAAGTAAAATTAAAATTGCCAAAGTCATTCCATTATACAAAGCTGGAGAAAGAAATCGATTTACTAATTATAGGCCATTGTCTCTACTCTCTCAGTTCTCTAAAATATTGGAAAAAATTTACGTTAATAGACTGGAAAATTTTATGGAAAAGCATGAATTGTTAGTTGATAGTCAGTATGGATTTAGGTCGAACAGATCCACATCCATGGCATTAATGGAGTTAATTGAAAATATTACTAGTACTATAGATAATAAGAACTATGCAGTGGGAGTATTTATAGATTTGAAAAAAGTAAAAGAGTGTTTAGATATCACATGTGGCGTCCCACAGGGGTCGATTTTGGGTCCAAATTTATTTATATTGTATATAAATGAGATATGTAGGGTGACAAATCTCTTAAAATTTGTGATTTTTGCTGATGATACTAATATTTTCTGTGCTAGGGAAATCTGCAGCAGCTTTTGGAGGTGGTCACAGCAGAAATGAATAAGATAAAAATGTGGTTTGACTCGAATAAATTATTGATACATTTAGATAAAACTAAATGTATGCTGTTTGGAAAACTGCAAAACTGATAGTTTTTTAAACTGAGGGCACTAGTTAATTTACTCATCCTTTTCCGGTTTGGACATAATGGTTCCATCCATTGGTGGTCACAAGACATCGTGGTTTCTATATGTTGTGAAGAACCTTTTCAGTCCTTGATACAAAGAAAGCTTTGTTGTCTCTTGATTGAATTAATTAGATCTCATGAGTAGATGAGTTTACAAGACTGACAGGAAATCGACCAAGAATATTGGAATCATGTGCTGGGTGATTAGCAAACCTTCATCTCCTCCCGTAGTCTCGCCGGGTTCCAAATTCCCCGCTGCAAAAATGCCACGACCTACCAGATCACCACTGTCCAAGGAAAGCCGCTGGTCAAGGGGCTGGTGCGGCACCGCACGCCCGAAGTCGCCCTACGGATTGGATGTTTCCACACCGAACGGATCTCTCTACTGGTGCTGGAGGAGGCCGTTGTGGACATCGTCCTGGGACGCCCCTGGCTCACCAAACATCAACCCACCATCGCCTGGAAGTCCGGAGCCATACTCCAGTCGAGTGCGGCGTGCAAACAGGAGTGCCTCCGAGATCTGCCTATCCCGAGCTCCGTCGGGAACGACCTCCCTGTCTGTTCCACCTCGGTGGAAAGCCCGGATTCATCGCCTGTCACTCCTCCTCCTCCCGAATACCAGGCGTTCCAGGACGTGTTCAGCAAGCTCGCTGCCACTCACCTTCCACCTCACCGGCCATGGGACTGTGCCATTGACCTGCTGCCTGGGGCCCAATTACCCAAAGGACACGTCTAGCCACTGTCGATCCTGGAGAGAGCCGCTATGGAGGAGTACATTCAGGAAGCCTTGCAACAGGGGTTCATCCGTCCATCCACCTCACCCGCAGCGTCGAGCTTCTTCTTCGTGGCCAAGATAGATAGGGGTCTGAGACCTTGCATCGATTACCAGGCCCTCAATGACCAGACGGTGAAGTTCGCCTATCCCCTTCCTCTGGTCCCTGTGGCCTTGGAGGAGCTCCGCGGGGCCCACATCTTCAGCAAGCTGGATCTAAGGATCTATAACCTCATCCGCATTCGCAGGGGTGACGAATGGAAAACCGCCTTTGTAACACCCACCGGGCACTGGGAGTACCGGGTCATGCCGTATGGGCTTTCCAACTCAGCCTCCGTATTCCAAAACTTCATGAATGAGATCTTCAGAGACATGCTCAACCGGTTCGTCCTCGTCTACATAGACGACATACTCATTTACTGACCCACTCTCAAAGCACACCGCCACCATGTCAACCAAGTACTCCAACTCCTCCGCCAACACCGCCTGTATCTCAAGGCCGAAAACTGAGTTCCACCAATCCACCGTTCACTTCCTGGGCTACATCGTCACCCCTGCAGGGGTGCAAATGGACCAGAGGAAGGTGGATGCCGTTCGGAACTGGGCCCAACCGACTACCATCAAGGAGATGTAGAGATTCTTGGGGTTCTCAAATTTCTATCGCCGCTTTATCGCCCACTTCAGCCAGTTGGCGGCACCACTTACCTCTCTCCTCCGGCGGAAGGCCAAATTACTCACCTGGACCCCGGAGGCACACCAGGCCTTCAGTCAGCTCAAAGCCGCCTTCTGTATGGCCCCGGCCCTTTCACACTATTCCAAAACTTCATGAATGAGATCTTCAGAGACATGCTCAACCGGTTCGTCCTCGTCTACATAGACGACATACTCATTTACTGACCCACTCTCAAAGCACACCGCCACCATGTCAACCAAGTACTCCAACTCCTCCGCCAACACCGCCTGTATCTCAAGGCCGAAAACTGAGTTCCACCAATCCACCGTTCACTTCCTGGGCTACATCGTCACCCCTGCAGGGGTGCAAATGGACCAGAGGAAGGTGGATGCCGTTCGGAACTGGGCCCAACCGACTACCATCAAGGAGATGTAGAGATTCTTGGGGTTCTCAAATTTCTATCGCCGCTTTATCGCCCACTTCAGCCAGTTGGCGGCACCACTTACCTCTCTCCTCCGGCGGAAGGCCAAATTACTCACCTGGACCCCGGAGGCACACCAGGCCTTCAGTCAGCTCAAAGCCGCCTTCTGTATGGCCCCGGCCCTTTCACACCCGGACCCCAATCTCCGCTTTGTGGTCGAGGTGGACGCAGCAACCCTGGGAGTGGGCGCCGTCCTGTCTCAATGGCAAGGTGAACCCCCCGTGCTCCATCCATGTGCGTATTTCTCACAGAAATTATCCCCGGCGGAGCAGAATTACGACGTTGGGAATCGGGAGTTGCTGGCCATCAAGCTTGCTCTGGAAGAGTGGCGGCATTGGTTGGAGGGTGCCAAACATCCATTCGAAGTGATCACAGACCACAAGAACCTGCAATATCTCCGAGAGGCCAAACGTCTTAACCCGAGGCAGGCCCGCTGGGCTCTGTTTTTTACCCGCTTTCACTTTGCGGTCACGTACCGTCCAGGGACTAAGAATGTCCGAGCGGACGCGCTTTCCCGCCAACACCAGCCAGATCCTACTCCCGAGGAACCAGAGCCCATCCTGCCACCTTCCGTCTTCATGTCTCCGATTCAATGGGCCCTCACCGACCAGATCCGTGCCGCCACTCTCACCGAACCCGCTCTGCCGGGAGGTCCTGAGGGGAAGAACTATGTCCCATCCACCCTGCGGATAACCCTTCTGGACTCGGTTCACACCTCTCCGGGATCGGGACACCCAGGCAGCCGCCGAACCCTCTCGCTCCTCCAAAACCGCTACTGGTGGCCCCACATGGCCCGAGATGTCACCCGGTATATCAAGGGATGTTCGGTCTGTGCCATTTCCACCACACCACGTCATCTGCCCGAAGGAAAACTAGTTCCGCTACCCATCCCTCGTCGGCCCAGGTCCCACCTGGGAGTGGACTTTGCCACTGACTTGCCTCCCTCGAATGGATTCAAAACCATCCTAGTAGTCGTCGACCGGTTCTCCAAATCCTGCAAATTAATTCCCCTGCGTCGATTACCTACCGCCCTGGAAACCGCAGAAGCCCTCTTCCAGCCTCATAGACTGGGAGGGGTACGTTCCTGAGGAGAGGTCGTGGGCAGACAGAGAGGACATACTGGACCCATCTCTCCTCAACGACTTCCACCAGGCTCATCCTGACCGGCCCCCTCCCAGGGCCCGTGGTCGTCCTCGCCGTTGGTCTCTGGCATTGGGAGATGCCCGTGGGGGGGGTAATGTCACGGAAACACCTGCCTCAACAGCCGAATCAGCCTCCTACACCCGCTCACAATCACCTGATTACTGATCACGGACACCTGCACCCACTTACCACACCAGTCAAATACTCACTCACCTCAGTCACTCGTTGGCTGGTCTCAAGGTTACAAGCTGCTCTCTATGGGTTCCTTGCCTCCCGATCTACCTGTCCCGCCTCGGATTCCTCAGTTCTCGGCCGAAGGACCTCAGTGCCAAACCCAGATAAGACTGTGTTCTCTGCTTCCATTTATTCCTCATTTGACTCTTTTCTGTTGGAAGCTCCTCCTAAATTCCTCTGAATAAACTTCCCGACTTACGTTAACCTGTCTGTTTGCCTCTTTGTCCCGGATGTGACAGTCTGTAGCTCTTCCTCTGGTCATTTTGAAACACATTTTTATAATTATTGATCAATGTCGATTACCGTATTGGCCCGAATATAAGACGACCCTGATTATAAGATGACCCCCCTTTTTCCAGATGTACCTTTTGGAAAAAGGCTTTTTAAAAACCAAATCTTGTTTTTTCTCAGTAAAACACATTTTGTCTTCAATTATTTTCATATTGCATATTTTTCCTATTTTCATTTTTGTTTTGAAAGTATGGTAAAAACTGGTAAAATGTACCAACAATCACATTTAAAAAATATACACTTTTTGATATACCATTAAAAAAAAAAAAAAACAGGTAGCCCATCTGAATTAGGACATTTAGGCTATCCATCTAATAGTAGCCTACCAAAATCTTATTAACAGTAGAAGTTAAATCCTACTGTAGTCTTCAAATCTGGGTACTGTCTTACGTTTTAAAATCACAAAGGGAGCTTGGTCCCATCATGCTAATGTGACAGTCACGACTCATGCAGCTGTAAGGTTTTCTTTTTCTTTTGTTTTTACTTGTGATCTTTACAACACGCATTTCCATGCGTATTTCATGGCACACTCGTTTTATGCGTATTTGGCGCCACCTATTGTTGTGGGTGTATTATTGACATGTCAAAGTCTAGACCCTGAATATAAGACGACCGCGTTTTTTCAGATGTATTTCCAAGAAAAAAACATTGTCTTATATTCGGGTCAATACGGTATTAAGCAAGATCAGAAGGGTTAAATGTGTCCATATGTGCAATCCGGATTGTGTGTCTGGATATCTCCAGTAGGCTATTCCATTTCTAAACAAAGTAAGAAACAAGCTGTAAGAATTGCAGATGATCAGATTACTGGTTAATCAAAAAGGCCTAACCAGCAAAACTGTGATCTTAAAACTTACAGCATGAGTTTATTTTTTTTAAATATTGGAAACAATACTGTTAAAAACTTTGGGGTCAGTAATATATATATATATATATATACACGCCAACGATGCATTACTTTGATCAGAAGTGACAGTTTCGGACTGTGTTTGCACCTCGCCTGGACTCTAGCTCGTGTTATTGGATAACCCCTCGTGTTTAGCCCTCTGGATATTGTTAGCCGCTGATCGACTACGCTCGTTTTGGATTACTCTTCTGTCTTGCCCTTAATATACCTGTTTGCCATTGTCTGACCCATGACTGTTTCATGACCACACCCTTTAATAAAGCCTTGCATATGGATCTGCACATATCACGTCTCGTTCGCCCCGTAACAGAATACTCAGCCACATAAGGATCCAGCGGCTTCTCGGATGGACATTGGCTAGGTATGGATACAGCAAGAATATTGTTAGCCCTTAGACAGGGCACACGATCGCTGGAGGGTTATGTTCAAGAGTATTTAGCCATCGCTCATTATTCAGACCTGCCGGACTGTATTTTGATAGATTTTTTCTGTGAGGGCATTAATCAACCGCTAATGTCTAAACTCATTCACGAGGGTCCGCGTTCATCTCTAAGTCAGTTTATGGACTATGCTTTGTTGTGTGTTGGCTCTTCATTCACTGTGGGTGTCGCGGAGGAGGAATGCGACACCGCGGCTGTTCGCAAAATGTCGGCGACAACAACACCCTGTTATGTCACAGCTGCGGATCCTGAATCAAGTCAAGTCACTTATGCTCTTTCTGAGTCAAGTCAAGTCACGGGCTGATCATCATGGGTCAAGTCAAGTCACGGCTGATCTTCCTGAGTCCAGTCAAGTCACGGTTGATCTTCATGAGTCAAGTCAACTCACAGCTGATCTTCATGAGTCAAGTCAAGTCACAGTGGATCTTCATGAGTCAAATCAAGTCACAGTTGATCTTCATGAGTCCAGTCAAGTCACAGTTGATCTTCATGAGTCAAGTCAAGTCACAGCTGATCTTCATGAGTCAAGTCAAGTCACAGCTGATCTTCATGAGTCAAGTCAAGTCACAGCCGATCTTCATGAGTCAAGTCAAGTCACAGCTTACATTGCTGAGTCAAGTCAAGTCTCAAGTCACATCACAGCTGATCTTCCAGAGTTACCTCACATCCTGTCTGCTGCACTCAGATTATCAAGATCAGTCCTTTGGTATCCCAGTCTGGTATCCAGTGTGAGGGATGCACCGCTGGTTTCTGCAAGCGCAGCTGGTATCCCCAAACCCACTCATTCTAGCCCTCCTGTTCCTGAATTGATTCCCCTGTCTGAAGTGCTTTCTATAATGGGAATCGCTTTTTGGTGTGTTTGGGCTGCATACACTACCACAGAACTTCCAGAGATGAGACAGAACACTCCAGGTCCTCCAGAGGTGACGGCTGAGGCTGCAGAACCCTCCGAGGCAGCGGCGCTCGCTTTGGCTCCTGGTATGGTGGTGGCACCCTGCAATACACTTTCAGTCTGTCCTGTCACGGTCAAAGGAACCGTTGCTGAACTCTGTACCTGTCCTGTTAAGGAGAATGTTAATGCACCTTCCCTGTTTCCTGCTGGTATTGCTGTAGAACCTCCAGAGGTGGCGGCATCCACTGCAGAACCTGCAGAGGTGTCAGTAGGATCCATTTGTCGTCCTGTTCTGTTCCGGCCAAGGAGGCCATCTGTGAACTCTCTGCCTGTCCTGTCATGGCTATGGAGGCCGTTTGTGA